GTCCGGGACGGTCGCGGGCGGGTCCCCGACCGCGGCCCGCGCGCCGGCGCGCCCCGGCGCCTTCTCCCTTCTCCGCGCTCTCGGTGGCCTGGCATGTGCCTCGCCGGCCCGCGCGATATCACCGCGCACGCACGCATGCGCGCTCTCCATGTGTCGCATGTGCGCACCGACTAGCACACCGCCCGCGACACATATGACGCGACAGCAGCACAGCACAGAGGGCGGAGAAGCGAGATCTTTCAATATATGCACTAAGGGTGACGAGCGCGTGTGCGGCCCTAGAGGCTCCAGTTCAATCTCTCAGACGCGAAGAATCGACGCGGGTTGGGTCCCCTCCTCGGCGGTCGGCGCCGACAGCCGACTCTCGTGGCCAGGTAGCCGGAGCGCAGGCCCCGGCATCATCGAGGTGAGGGTGAGCGGAGCGGTGGAGCTGACCCACTCCACGTCGAGCTCAATGGCGCCCGCGATGTTGCTGCTGGCGACCGAGCGGCCGTACGTCAGCTTGGCCGAATAAGAGGCGCGCGCAGCGCGCAGGAGCGCCGACACGTCGAGCTGCGCGGCGCCGAGCTCCTGCGACGAGGAGAGCATCCCCTCGTAGTCGAAGACGGCGAGGCGGAGGGGCTCGAGCAGCAGGCGCCGCTTGACGCCGCGCAGCACCAATGTCTGGTTCCACTGCGGCGAGGTCGTCTTCTTGAGGTGGCGCGAGCGCAGCTTGTGCGGCTTGCCGTCCTCCGGGTCGACCAGCTCGAGCCGCACAAAGGGGTCGCACCGGCCGCGCGACGAGACCGGGACCAGGCCGACCGCCTTTCGCAGCACGACGCGGATCTCGCCAACCTCGTTGAGCTGCGAGATCTCGATCGCCTCGTCGCCACCCTGCTCGCTGAGCCGGTCCCCGCGCTCGAGGTCGTCCGTCGTCCACGAGACGATCAGGTTGACCTTGCCGCGCGGCACCGTGCGCTTGTACATCACGCTCTGCGAGAGGCATACGGTGTACGCGGTCCGCAGCCCCGATAGCTCGAACGTGGCCTCGCCGAGCTTGTCGTCCGCGTCTCCGATCTTCTTGTCGCGGTCGAAGAGGACGAGCTTGAGCGGCTCGTCGAGCATCGCAGAGATGATGCCCGAGAAGCGGAAGGTCTGGTCCCACAACGGGTCGAGCGTCATCTCGCACACATCCGACCGCTCCATCTTGCGGTTGCCGAGGTGCAGCTTCACGTACGGGTCCGAGTAGCCGTTCCGGTCCGCCGCCATAAGCCCCTCGGCCGAGTGCAACCTCACCGAGAGCACGCCGTACGTGCCGAGCGCCGGCGCCTCGATGGGCCCCGGCCGCGCCGTCGCCAGCGCAGCCGTCCTCGCCTGCTCCCACGCGCCGGCGGCAGACTGCCAGATCACCTTGACGCTCACGTAGCCCTGAAGCGAGAGCTCGTGGCCGGAGAAGGTGCCCTCGCGCTTGCAAAAGAGCGGTTCGAGGTCGATGAGCGCCATGCCGATGTTGTCGTCCTTCGAGTTCTCGTCGTAGTCGTAGATGGTGATGATGAGCCCATCGTCGAGCAGGTCGCGCAGCACGCCTGTAGGGAGGCGTGATGGACGTGTCACCGACGTGTCGTGGCAGCTTTGCAAGGAGCGACACGCAGCACGCCGTTCCACGAGAAGGTCTGGTTCCACACCGGGTCGACGGTCTTGAGCACCGTGCGTGACTTCCGCTTGATCGAGTGCAGGTCGAGGATGGCGTACGGGTCCGACGTGGCGGTGCCGCCGCCCTTCGCCTTGTCGGCGCCGCGCAGGTGCGAGGCCTTCTGGAGAGTGACGTAAACCGTGCCGCGCTTCTCGAGCTCGTCCATCGTGAGGCGCGCGAGCTCGCGCGCCTTGGGGTGCATCGGCAGCGACTCGGCGCAAGGGCAGACCGCGGCGACGACCGGCCCGAAGCGCTCGCACATGGCGTCCATCGTGTCCTCGGTGGAGAGGGCGGCCGTCTCGACGCGCGACTTGAAGGAGGACCACGAGGACTCGCGCACGCCGATGAACTAGGGAGGGGCGGGGCAAACAGGGGTGACGAGGTGTGAAGGGCGCAGGTGGGGCACGGTCAGAGGCGGAGGGTCGGTGGCGGGGTTGGGTGGGGTCGCGGTGAGACTGGCCCACCTTGAGCAGGCTCGGCTCCTCCTCGTACCCCCTCATCGCTGAGCAGACCGTCGAGCGAGCCTTCCGGCCGCGCATTATCGCCTGCACCTTGGTCGCCGCCCTGACGGTCTCCTCCGTCATATCGATCCCCAGCTCCACATCGCCGGGACGCGGGGCCTGGTTGTCTCCCGCAGCGGCGTCCGCATCACCCACCGTATCCCTCTCCTCCTTCAGAGGGAGGTAGCCTCGCGCCTGCGCTCCCAGCGCCAGGCTCCTCTCCTTGACCGTCGCCGCGGCCGCGCTCGCTCGGCGCGAGAGGCGCTCCTCGCGCCTGGCGGCCCCGATCTTGGCGTTGCGCGCCTTTTGCCGCGCAAGCTGCTTCTTGCGAATCTTGCGCTCCTTGGCGCGCGCCCGCTCTCGGTCGTCGATGGCCTTCTTCTTCTTCATCAGCGAGGAGCTTAGCTTTGGCACCAGCGTGCCGCTCTGGTCGTACGCGGTGGCATGCGCGTGGTGCATGCCCTTGCCGACGAGCGGCACCGAGAAGACGAGGAAGGGGAAGGAGAGCAGCCCATAGACCATCTTCATGTAGAAGAGCGTCGTCCAAAACATCCAGTGCGCGGGCGTGAGGAAGCCCTCGTAGGCCATCTTGCCAAAGCCGAGGATGACGATGGTGGCGACGACGCAGCGGTCGTAGCGCATGAAGCGAGGCATGTAGCCGCCCTTCCGCCGCTCGACGTCGAACTTCTTGCGAGCCGCGGCGGTCGCGGCAGCAATGTCGTCGTCGTCGATCAGCTCCTACGGTCGGGCGAGTCTGCAGCTCAGACGGGGCGCGCTCCGAGGGGAGGCGCGGCGGTCGAGCGAGCGCGCCTGCGCAACCTTCGCCTCAGCGTCGTCGAACTTGGTCTTGCCCGATGCCTTCGACTTGACCACTTTCTTCACCTGCTTGCGGTCGGCGACGCCGTCGAGCGAGCCGTCGGCGATGTCGAGCCGCACGTCCTCGAGGGCGAGGATCTCCTTCTCGCCGCCAAAGGCCTGCTTGGTCTCGAGCAAGTACGCGGCGCGATAGAGCAGGCAGCAGCGCAGCATCTCGAGCGCGTAGATCCAGGCCGCGTGGAAGCCCGGGTGCGCAGGCGCGCACTTGCCGATGTGCACCTCGTGGTTCTCCATCTGAGCGAGCCCCGCTCCCTCGAGGCAGCCCCACATCTTGACGGCAACCTGCTCGCGGGGTGGGCGAAGCGTGAGGTGCCGCCGCCGGCGCTTTCACTCCTGCATGGACCCGCGCCTTGACGGCGGCGACGATCGCCGAGATGAACTGGAAGCCCTTGAAGGAGAGGATGAATCGCACCTGTTCACATGTACATGCATGTGGAGCCGTGAAGAGACACGCCATTCATGGTGGACGGTGCGGGAGGGCGGCGCTCCAGCTGGAACTCGTCCTTGCGGTCGATGAAGAGGAAGATGAGCGCAAAGATGAGGACGTTGACGCCGCCGAACGGGATCAGCTTGATGGCGAGGATCGACGCGTTGACCGGGTCTTGCGTCACCTGTGAAGAGACCGCGAGGTGTGGCCCACCCCCCTCCGCGAGGGCGCAGCTCTGCGCGGCGCACCTTCCAGATGGTCGCGTCCGCCGGCTGCGTCGCGTACAGCACCTTGGCGCGCAGCCACGCGTAGATATTGTCCCGACGAAACGGCGGCGCCTTAGCCCACTGCTTGAGCCGCAGCTCGCGGTGCGCCTGGCGGCGGGCCTGGACCGGTGAGATGCTGGCAGACTCGACGCGAGGCCGCAGATGCGGCGTGTGCCTTGTTGGCTCGCCCGTACGACGCCATGATCCCCGTCTTGAGGTCCATGCCCACCTCGTCCCAGATCTTGGACATGATGTCGTCCACGATGCCAGCGACGCGCCGCGGCATGTATGGCGCCTTGGCCGACTCCTTTGCGATGCCGCCGGCCTTGTTGATGATCTTCGTGAGCTGCGCCTCGAGGATCTCGTCGTGCTTCTGGTCGACCTTTGCGACGGGGGCGGTAGGCAGCTGGGTCAGTGCACTAAATGCTGCAGCGACCGTAGGGCTGCGCACGCGGCGAGTAGCTCTTTGGCAGGTGACAGGGCAGGCGTGGTTCGACCTTTGCGAGAGCTCGTGATTTCGCATTGCTGATCGAGGACGGCGCTTTGTACACGGCGCTCCCGACATTGCGCACGGCACCAATGACGCCACCGCGCTTCGTCGAGCGCTCGCTGTCGGCACCAGAGATTTCACCAGCTGCCGCATTGGAAGCCTCGCCGAGGTCCCGTGGTGCAGCAGCCGGTGCAGCTGCAGGCGACTCGCTCGCGCTGCGCGCAGAGTCGCCGTCGCCCGCCGAGCTCCGCGACGACTTGGAGCCCCGCAATGTTAACCGTCCCATCTCAGAGGACGTGCAAAAGACGGGTTTGTGAGCACCTCGGGGGCGGGTGCGCGCACTGAACCTTGGCCGCTTTGGGTGCAAAAGGCGGCGTACGTGCGCGTGGCAGCTGCGCCGTGAAACCGACGGACGCCTCCAGTGGGGGTGTGTTGGAGTGTGTGCGCCCGCGGAGAGAGAACGTGTGAGTCGTCCTCCGCAACGCGCGGCTGACAGTGATATCACCTGATCAATGTACAGTGGCGTGCGCAGCAAACCACCAGCAGTGGCACTTATAACACTTAACCAACCACACACTGTGTCCAGCTCCAGGCCCCAAATGACGTGTGAGTGAGTGTTAGAGTTGTTTGGTATTGCTAAAAATCTCTCTCTACTCTCACACTGTCGTGTGTAGTCTGTAGCGGCTAAATAACGATTTGTAAAGACGCGATAGATAGTGGATAGACCTTAGACCGCGAGCTCGAGCGGAGCGGCCGCAGGGAGGGACCGCCGCAGTTCTCGATAGGTTTCAACTGTAATACCTTTCTATCCGTCCAGGCACGGACTCACCCACTCTCCACAAGCAGTCAGCCCAGCCAGATCGTGCGCACCCTGCAACACGCTGCTCAGGGCGCCCGCCGCTCCACAAGCCCTCAAGCGTCGCGCTTACAGCACGGCGCCGCGGTCGGGCCGCGCCGCCGGGTCCGCGTCGGCGGCCACCTCCACCTTGTCGCCCGTGTCGGCGGCGGCGGCGGCGGGGCCCGAGTCACCGTGCGCCTCGAGCAGCTTGGTGAGGTCGAACTTAGGCTTCTTGAGCATCTTGACCTTGCGGATGTGCACGTTCTGCATGGGGTAGATGCCCTGGCACGCCTTCTCGATCTCCTTGCCGATCACCTCCGGGATGAACTTGTTGACCAGCTCCTTGAGCTCGCAGGAGGTCGACTCGCGCGACATGATCTCGCGCATCTTCTTGCGGATGCTCTGCAGGCGCGCGGCGGGGTGGGGCGGGGGCGGTGAGCGGTGCAGCCTCGGCCGCTCGACCGTGTCGCCCTCTCTTCTCTCTCTCCCCGTCGACCGCGGGGGGGGGGGGGGGAGGGGGGGGCCCCTTCTGCTGCGCCGCGTTTGCGTAGCACGTCTTTTTGAGCTGGGTGGGCCGCTTCTTGGGGAAGCCCATGCAAAAGAGGGGCATGACGTAGCCGTCCGAAGTCTTGACGTCAACGTGCGCCTCGATGAGGGACTGCCACTTCTTCACCATCGAGCTGCAGGGCGAGGGGGGCGGCGGCGGTGGGCCGAAGCGCGGGGGGGGGGGGAGAGGGGGGCAAGGGGGCGGGAGAGGGGCGGGAGAGGCGAGGGCGGCGGCGGCGGGGAGAGACGCGGAGGAGCCATGCGGCGGGACGGAGGGAGGAGCACAACGATGCGCCGTGGCAACAGTGGTGGACTGGGCGGGCTGGGTGGGCTGGGCAGCGGACCGGAGCTTGTCCGTGGTGAAGGTCAGGCCGTAGAACTGCGTGAGGCACGAGTGGCCCTGCACCTCCTCGCACTGCAGCTTGATTTTCCGGTAGTGCTGGTCCTCGTCCTTATTCAGGTCCGCGAGGCACACCTCGAACACGCGCCCCTTGAGCATCTCCGACGCAATCTTGGTGCCCGTGGTGCGGGTCACCGGCGTCTTGCCGCAGTTGCGCACGGAAAAGTTTCCGGGCGCCTTGATGTCATACCACTCCTTCTTGGTGAAGGGGTCGACGATCTTCTTGCCCTTGCCCTTCTTGCCCTTGGACAGCCGCTTGTTCTTGCCCACGGCCTGCGTACGCGGCGGACGGCACCGTCGGGCGGCGGCAGCGGCGCTTCCGCGCGAGCGAGTGCTGACGCGGGCCCCCGGCGCAGACACGCAGCGGCGCCGCGGACGGCGCCAGCCGGCCGGCTACCCTCCCCCTACGCCCCCACCCCCCCCCTCTCCCTCAGGCGCAGTGCTGCCGCAGCTCTCTGAACGCGCTGGCTCACCATCTTGGAGAGGTCGGCACGCGGCTGCGCTTCGCGATTTCTTTTTGTGATTGGGCGGTAAGAGGCGGGGGGGAGGGTTAAAGGGGAACAAAAATATAAGAAAAAAGCGTAAATAATAAATATAATAAAAAGCAACAGCGGCTGCGGACATAAATTCTTTTTGGCTCGGCTTGGGCTGGGCGAGGACAGCGCAGGCCCTGGGGACAGCGCCCCCTCCTCGTGCCACGAATGCCCCGCTCACCCTCGTCCTCCTCGGTGTCCTCACTGAGCAAGACCGGCTCCGACTTTGACGGTAAGACCGACGGCCGCGCCAAGACCGACGGGCCCGCCAAGACCGACGCCTTTGGCCGCGCGCGCCGCGCGGGCGACCGGTCCCCCTCCGGCTCGCCCCCGCGCAGGCGGCGGGACGAGCGCGAGCGCAGCCGCAGCCGCGGGCGCCGTGGGCGCGTGCGGAGCCGCTCGCCCGAGCCGCGCCGGCGCGGCGGGTCGCCGCCGCGCGCGCGCGAGCGCGACGGCCACCGCGGCGGCGGCGGCGACCCGCGCGACGACGGCCCGCTCCCCGAGCTCGAGTCGGTGCACAGGGCGGAGGTGGTTCGGGTCGAGGCGTACGGCGCGTTCGTCGCGCTCTCGGGCTTCCGGCGGCAGGGGCTCGTCCACATCTCGCAGCTCGCGAGCTGGCGCGTCGAGTCGGTCGAGGAAGTGGCTCGCGTGGGGCAGCGCGTGTACGTGCTTGTCCTCTCGACGGACAACGGCCGGCTCTCGTGCTCGATGCGGAGGGTGGACCAGGAGAGCGGCGCGGCGAGGCCGGACGAGCCGCGCGGGCCCGGCGCCTCCTTTGCCGGCGGCGCCTACTCCGCCGCCGACCAGACGTACCCCGACCGGTCGGGCGCGCAGATGGGCCTCAACCCGCTCGACCGGCAGGCGGGCGACGAGGCGGCCGAGCCGCGGCGCGGGTACGGCGGCGGCTTCGACCCGGAGCGGGAGGCGCGCTTCGCCGAGGCGCGGACGCGGCGCGCGGTGCAGCGCCGCTCGCTGCCCCTCCCCTCCATTTGGCTGCCGTCGCGCTCTCCGAGCCCGCGCCGCGAGCCAAAGAAGGAGAAGGGGCGGGCGGGCGAGCACACGGCGGAGAGCTGGATGGAGTCCTTTGGCAAGGCGGCGGAGGAGGGCAAGGGCAAGGGCGGCAAGGGCAAGGACAAGGGCAAGGACAAGGACGCCAAGGCGTCCAAAGCCAAGCGGAGGCGGAAGAAGGTTAGCAGCAGCAGCAGCGCCAGCAGCAGCAGCGGGAGCGGGAGCGGGAGCGAGAGCGAGAGCGAGAGCGAGAGCAGCAGCAGCGCTCCGAGCGAGCGGGAGCAGAAGCGCAAGAAGCGGTCCAAGGCGAAGCCAAAGGACGGGCGCGAGAGCAAGAAGAAGAAGGAGGAGGAGCGCGGAGCCGCGGACGGGGAGGAGGAGAGAAAAGGGGCGAGCCGAGCCAAGGGGGGCGAGCCGGACGCGGACGAGGCTGCCGACACTACCCGCGCCGAGGCGGTGCCCGAGCCGGCAGCGCCCGAGCCGGCAGCACCCGAGCCGGCAGCGCCCGAGCCGACGGTGGCGGTGGCTCCCGAGCCGGCGCCATCCGAGCCGGCGCCATCCGAGCCGGCGCCATCCGAGGAGGCGCCATCCGAGGAGGCGCTGCCCGAGGAGTCGGCGGCGGCAGCCGAGATGCCTCCGCCGCCGCCTCGGCCGCCGGCGGCGTCTTCGGGCGAGGGCGGCCCCTCCTCGTCGTCTGCGGGCGCGGGTGCGGGGAGCGGCCGCCGCAAGGTCAAGAAGATCAAGTACGTCTGGGTCGAGAAGCGCGCGGCCGCCGACGACGACGAGGACGACGTTGGGCCGATGCCGGCGCCGCGGGTGGAGGGCGTGACGCCGTCTGGCTACGGAGGCGCGCTGCTGCCGGGCGAGGGGGAGGCGATCGCCGCTTACGTCGCCGCGGGGAAGCGGATCCCGCGGCGCGGCGAGGTCGGCCTCTCCGCCGAGGAGATCGAGAGCTTCGAGTCGATGGGCTACGTGATGAGCGGGTCGCGGCACAAGCGGATGAACGCGGTGCGCGTGCGCAAGGAGAACCAGATCTACTCGGCCGAGGAGAAGCGCGCGCTGCAGATGTTCAACTACGAGGAGAAGCAGAAGCGCGAGGCGCAGATCCTCGCCGACTTCCGCTCGCTCGTCCAAAACAAGATTGGACAGTATGAGTAGCGGGGAAGGGGGGGGGGGTCTGCTGCGGTGGATAGGCAGGTGGCAAGGGCGGGCGGCGGTTGTGCCTGTATGGCGGACGGGGCGCGGAGCGAACGGCGGAGTGCTAGAACACAAGAAGTCGCCCTTAAAAATAAATAATATATGAAGCCAAAGGAGGAAAGAAAGAAAACAGACAACCCAAGGGAGGGATGGGAGGACGGCACGCCGCCACCACACAGGGATTTTAAGGAGAGGGGTGTGTGATGCGCTAGCCGTCGCCCACCCTAGGGAGTCTGCCTCTTCCTATCTCTCTTCGCAGTCTCTCGCCGCTTCTCGCTGCAGCCTTCATGCCAAAGGAGGGATGATAGAAGGCCCCTGCCGCGATTTCTTTTTGGTTGGCATGGGGGCTCTGGGTGGGGCGCAGAGATAACCGCTCACGCCGGGTTGCTCACCGAACAGCGAATGCCGATCGACCTCGACTCCTGGTGCTCGTACTCGACTGAGAAGCAGATTGTCGTGCGGCACCGCTGGGCCGGCATTCTCTACTACTCGTGCTGCCTCTTCGTCCTGATCTACGTCGTCGCCGTGCAGATCATCGCCAACCAGGGCTTCACGGCGTTCCAGGCCCTGAGTGGCACCGTCAAGGGCAGCTTCTTACCGCCCGCCTCGCTCTCGCCGGTCGATTCGCTGCACTACTGCAACCAGTCCGCCAAACGGAGAGGCGCCGCGCAGCCGTGCGTGTCTTGGGACGCTTCGCTCACGACGCAGACCTACTCCAACGCGCTCCTCGTGGGCACGCGCGTCACGCGGCGGCTGCAGCGCCGCAACGCGTCGTGCGGCGAGCTACAGTATGGCTGTGCCCCATGGTTCCAGGCGCCCGACGATGTGGTCTCTGCCTACGTCGGCGATGTCGAGAGCGGGACTGTGCTCGTGCAACACTCCGTCTCGTCGCAGTCGGCGCTCTCTCTCTTGCCGGGCGGGCGCGACGCGCTCGACTCCTTCGGCCCTCGCAAGCCGGCCACGCTCACCGGCGCCGACGGCACGACCGTCGCGACAGTTCCGTGCGACGGCCAGAGGAGCGAGCACGACCCCCGGTGCGGCAAAGGGAGGGGCGACCTCTTCACACTCGGGCAATTCTTATTATTCTTCTTCTTATTATTATTATTAGGTGCGGCAAGGGGAGGGGCGACCTCTTCACACTCGGGCAGCTGCTCGCTGCGGCAGGCGTCGACCTCGATGCGCCGAGCCTCTCCTCCGTCGGCGAGACGAAGCGCAGCGCCGGAGTCACACTCATCCTCTCCGTCGACTACCGCGCCAACCTCCTCACCAGGCGGCAGTGACAGTGGGCCGTGACCGTGGGCCGCTTCCACGCACAAAGCAACACCCCGGGCCCGAAATCGCACGACAGCACAGTGGGCCGCTTTCACACCTCGCCGACGTTCGACCCAACCCCGACCCTGACGCCGACCTCTACCCCCGGCCGTAGGAGCGCGGACTACTCCTACCTCGTCAACGCCTCTCGGCTCGAGGCCAGCCGACCTTGCAGCTCCTCCCTAGACCCTCCCAGACCCTTCCTCGAGCTTCCTGCAGCCGCCTGCAGGCAAAGGCGACCTTCTTCGGCTCCTTCGCCTCCACCTTCGGCGCCGTCCCCAACGCGACCCGCGAGGTCTTCTCGCTGCACGGCGTCCAGCTCATCTTCGAGCAGAGCGGCGGGCTCACCTCCTTCGATTTCTTCACCCTCCTCCTCACCTTCGTCTCGGGCCTCGCCCTCGTCTCCATCTCGAAGAGCATCACAAACACCTTCCTTCTCTACCTCGCGCCCCGCCGCAACGAGTACCGCCTCTTCCTGCGCTCTCAGACACCGGACTTCGCGCCCGCCAACCAGGCCGAGCGGCGCGCACTCGCCGACCTCGTCGCCTCCAAGCGGCGTAAGCGCGCCATCTGCGACGGCCAGCCGGCCGCCCCGGAGCAGTCCACCGAGCAGACCCTCGTTTCGCCGCTGGCGCCGCTCTCCGAGGAGCCGACCGCACCTCTCCGCGCGGGGAGCCGCGCAGAGTAGCGTCCAGCGAGCGCCTGGATGGCGAACGTACGCGCGCAAGTACCGTCTAATTGTACGTCATGTTATGCGAATGTGTGTGTCATCTGTGTCGATATAGTGTGATTGTGCACCCTGTGGAGGTACACCTGTAGCATCCGTACAGGTACACGATTCGGCCCCGCTCCACGCCTCCACCACCACCTCCAGGCGCCCGCGCATCCCCATGAGCCATGTGGCCCGCCGCCCCCCGCCCGCGCCCCGGCAACAAGTTTGACCCAAAACAAGAACACAAGTTTGGCTCTACTAATATAGCGCGCGGATAAGGCGCGCGCGCCCCGCGGTGGCGGCGAAATATAATATTATCTCAGAGGAATATAGTGTGAATGCCCGGGAACAGCCCCTCCTGGCCCGAGTGCGGGGCGCGAGGGACAAATAAATTCAAAGGGCATGAAAGTCGTCGAGCTGCTTGATCAGGCCAGTAAAGATGGCCCGCGAGGCAGCCTTCGTGAGCAGGTCGGCGAGCATCACGACGCCGGGGAGGTGTTCGACGGAGATAACGCCACGGCTGACGAGATCGCGAAGAAACTCGGCGGCGCGCAAGATGTGCTTGGTTTTCTTGAAGGCAACGGGATCGAAGGCCATGCCGACGGCGGACTTGCTGTCGCAGTTGATGACGCTGGCGCCGTCGATGGAAAATCCAAGGTCGATCAGTAGCTCACGGATGAAAATCACCTCCTTGGCGGCTAGCATGGCGCCGAAGAACTCTGCCTCGGCACTAGACAGCGTGACGGATCGCTGCATTTTGGAGAACCAGTGGAAGAGACATCCGTAGAAGAAGAACATGCCACCGGAGCAAGAGAACTTCGTTGCCCAGTTTGAATCGACGTAGCTCTCAAGGTTGCGGTTGGGATTCGGCTGCATGACGAGGGCGCGGTCAGCTGTGTCGCGCACGTAGATAAGCACCCGGATGGCGGCTTTAAAATGCGACGGGCCAGGGTTCGTCATAAACCGAGCAAGCTGAGACGCGGAATAAGCAATGTCGACGCGCGTCATATTGGCAAGCCACAGTAGTCCGCCGACGATGGCCATGTAGGCGGTGCGGAATTCGGACATCTCGTCGTATTCAACAGATCCAACGGCGGGCTGGTCATCGGCGGACAGTTCGAGCCCCTCTTCCATAGGCGAGTCGAAGCGGCGTGAGCGGGACCGATCGAAATAGGCGCTGAACTTGGTAACGAGGTCGGCGGCGTAGAGGCCCTGGGACAAGTTCAGGGTCCGTGCGCCGCGGTCACGCGTGATGGCGGTGTTCAGTATCCATTCGAGCTCGCCTTTGTCCTCGGTAGGAAAGTGCTTGGAGATGTCGGCAACAAAACGGGCGCGCAGCGTGGGGCAGTTGTCGGCGATGAGTATGTCGTCGACGTAAACTAGCACCCATAAGACAAGATTGCCAGATCGGTAGATATACAGGCACACGTCGATGGTCGAGCGAACGAATCCCCAGGAAACGAGGAAGGAGGTGAGGAGTAGTCCCCACTCTCGCCCTGCCTGTTTGAGTCCATAAAGGCTGCGCCGCAGTTTGCAAACGAGGGAGTTGTTGCCACTGTTGACTCCTGGGGGAACGCGCATGTACAGATCCTCGTCAATGGTCGCCTGTAAATAAGCCTGCCGAATATCGAGAGAAGTCAAATTGTAATCACGGGCGGCGGCGATGGCGAGTACGAGGCGGATAGTAAGGGCCTTGACGACGGTAGCGAAGACGCGATTGAAGTCGACACCATGCTTCTGAGTGTTGCCGTCGGCGACAAGGCGTGCCTTGAACTTGTCGATTGAACCGTCAGCCTTGCGCTTGATTGCAAATACAAAGTGGCAGTGCATAATATTGGCGTCGGCAGGAATCGAAGCAATCGGTACAAGGTCCCAGGTGTCGAGGGCAATGAGACCGGAAAGTTCCTTGTTAATAGCTTCGCGCCATTGCTCGACTTGAGGGCTAGACATGGCCTGCCGGTAGCTTTTAGGCACTCGTAGTGCACCCTGATCGGCGGTGAGGGTAACTGCGTATGCAGTGCAGGCAATCCGAGCGGCGGCGATGAGTGAGAATTCGTTGCCAATAGGATCGTAAGTGTCGAAAGCGGTGTCGACGGATCCAAGGCAATCGGCGAAGGCTAAGAAATCGGCGGCACATGATTCGCAGTAGACGGCATTGGAGATGAGGGCGGCAAGCAGGGAGTACGCAAGGAAAAGGAACCCAATGAGAGCAAAGCAAAGGAAAAATGGCCAGATCATTCCCATCCATGTGGACTGTACCCGAGCGCAATTCTTGTTTGAGAACATATAGTTCCAATGGAGCTCGTATTTGACCCAATCGCGCTTGCCGCGTCGCCGAAAGTGATCAAGGCAAAGGGCTTTCGCAGCATCGGTGGTTCCATGGAGTGGCCAGATGATATCACATGTCCCATTGTTGAAGGGCACTACCTCTGTCCCACTGCTCAAGGTCTCAAGGACTTGGTAGGTGGCAAGCTCCTTTCCAGAAGAACATGTCCCATGGTGCAATGCCTCTCCTGCACTCGACGTGTCCGAGTGGTCCCGGGGAAGGACTTTCTGCCAAGATGTAGGGTCAAATGTAGCGTTCCACGGTGAAACATTTTGGAGGCAAAGGAAGCCGTTCCCGTCGCACTGACCCAGAAGAATAGGCAGCATTGGGTGACCCAGCAAAGGTGGCGGCGGCATGTATGTCGCAGGCTTCCTATGGGGCTGGGTTGTCGCAGCAAGGGTCCCGTGCCTCATGAGTTGTAGCGCCATCGTATTGGGCCATGAGTGCACCTGTATCGCGGGGCTGCGGAGGGCCAAAAATTCAGATTGGCCGCAGTGGGTGGATGAGGCCTCAGGAGCCGACTGTAGCGCGTGCTCCATCGCCTGGGAGGTAGTGTGAGTGGAGGCACACGTGTCCTCGCTTGTACTGGTCTGA